TCTATGCTGGCAGATGCATCAGGTTGAGCCAAAGGAAGTTGATTTGACAGTGATGAAGTTTTGGATTCCACTAAATGCAATAGGTTTATATAGTGGTATGCAATGCAGAGTCCAAGCAACTGCATGTAAACATGTGGATGCATACATTGACTGTGCTGCATTTTAAAGGACAAGCATCACTTTCTCCTATTTTAATGATATAATAAGAGTTGTTTCTTCCAGATTTCACTTTGCACTTTTCTTCATCTTTGCAGTATTGTACTAGTATTTGTGTTAATGATGTTTTTTGCAACAATTTTTGGGCAGAGGAATGCCTTTTGCTTCATTCTATGTCTCACTTTTTCTACTTTTTCTTTTCTCAAATTGTTGAACATAGCATCTCGGTTGATTTTATATTGGTGAAACATGAGATCATCTACTTGACGATTCTGTTTGTGCTCAAAGTAAACAATTTTTAGTACAGATTCTACTATTATATAGGCGGTAGCCTATACGTAGAATTGAGGTCGATTTTTCAAGATTGCGTCCATTTTTATGATTTTCAAACACTTATAACTCTTTTATCTTACGTTGTACAGCCTTATAAATGGCTTAAATGAGCTCTCCTTCACTGAGCAATTTTCCTGGTACCTTTAAAGTGAACTGTAATGTATCGGGAGCATTTCTGGAAAACAGGCCCAAATTCAAATTTCTACAAAATTCTTCAGACTTTTTCTTCTTTCGTCTTTCTTCTATACACCAGATAATCTCTTCAACTAGAGAATAGCTCAGGGTGACTTTTACATCACTCTTCTGGGCTTGGGTCAAGGACCACAAAGGTAGTTTCTAATCGATGACAGCTAAGTGTATCATGTTTCCCTCAATATATGAAAATACTTTTTGTAGAAATTTCAATCAGCAGCCATTAAATTAAAACTGTGTCTTTCTGCACTGCCTAGATATATTAATCATTCCTGTATACCCTATTGTAGAACAAATTATCTTATAAATTAAAATTACCAATGGTACCATGCTTTTATCTTTATTACGAAACATTGGAAGCGTTGTTTTTGGAAAAAAACTTTGTTTCATTCTCTTTTCGCAATATTGACTACTTTTGCTTACTTGGAGGATCATCTGAAGCATTAAGGAACGGCGCCTCATAAAAATTTATGTATCATTGTTAGGAGATAGCATTGACCATTTGGTGGTCCTACAAGACAATTTTTTATTTGAGACAAGCAAGGAATATTTTGTGGCAATTTATGTTGAAAACGCATTAATTGTCCAATTTCATTAAAGTTATGTAGTGGGGTAACTAGTAATTTATCACATGGCATTTGTGATTTTTAATTTTTGGATGCCTATCTTGCAGTGCTGCCTGATGGTTTATTATACAATTTTAGCATTTCCTTGCAGTCCCTTTTGATGGTATTAGCCATTTTACTCACAAGGAGGATCATCTTCAGCAATACTTTAGTACCAGTCCAGTATATTTGCCTTTCTAATCTGTTCTTCTATGATAAACAATAATGTAATATAAATCAACTGTTACTGGCCATGACCACATCATACGTGAAGATGTTGGATTGTACAGAATATGTCAAGAAAAAGAACTTCAGCCAAAGTTATTCTGATACAAAACAACTTCAAGCGAAAAATGTGCCTTGTAAATTGGAATTCTTCTGCATTTCCTACACTTTATTCCTTCCAAGTCTACATGCACTGCTGCCTATTGCAAACTCTACTGCTACTGTCTGCATCAAATGGCATATTACGTGGAACATTTTTATTGCGTGATCAAAAGATTTGACACAACGCATCAGAATGTTAATCTTTTTTTTGTTGCAATGATAAATTGAAGATTACTTCTGAAATTAACTTGTGGATAAGGTATAGTATTTGAATGAATGTAAGTCAATGTTGTTTATCATTGCACAAAATTAAATGATGACGCCCATGTAAAGGTAGTGGTGACATTTTTCTTGGCTCTCATTGTTGTTTTGGTTATCACTG